TAACATATACCTTATACTTCTATGACAACTATTACAACTAATGCTATATAGTTATAAGAAATTAACAAAAAAACATAATTTTATACATTTAATTATCTATATGTGTCTTAAATGTCTTATTATTAACTATTTTCAAAAGTACAACTATAAAAATGTAATTTATAGTACGATATAACTAATAAAATCGTTTTATCTATGAAAGTACAACTCTGTGTAATAAAAAAAAATAGAGTACAACTTACCTACTTGGGTACAACTTTGTATATTATTTGACGGCGCGAAAAAAGTAATTAATTATTTTTATAATTATTTTGCTGGCGCTCGTGTAGTTTGACGGCGCTCGTGTAATTTGACGGCGCTCGTGTAATTTGACGGCGCACATGTGGTTTTTGGGCCTGGAAAATTCCTTTTGTTCTAGTTTCAACAACACTAATTGTACGCAATAATACCAGTTGTACTAAAAAATCTGAAAACATAATTTAATTAAAACAGTAAACCTCCTAGTAGTTTTAACTAAAACCTGTTTCACCAAACAATAAAACCTCCTACTAGTTTCAACCTAAACCATCTACAAGTTTCACCAAAAACCAATAACTAGTTTCAACAAAAACAAAAAAAAACTTGTTTCTTCTACTTCTTTTTTTCAGCCTCTCGTTTCTTCCTTTCTCCTGGTGCATCATTTTTGTAAGGAGTGGATATATGCCTCGATGGTTTACCCTTTCTCCTATTCCTAATGAGCTCAGCCGTCCTTTTAGCCTCAGCACTCTTCCGCATACATATTTTGTAGCGTGGTTTCTTTGCTGGTGGTTCAGGAGTCTCCGCAGGTACAGGTGTAGGTGCGTTTGTGGTCTCCACTGCAGGTGCAGGTACGTCTGTGGTCTCCTCCGCAGGTACAGGTGCAGGTGCGTCCCTGGTCTCCTCCGCAGGTACAGGTGCAGGTGCAGGTGCGTCCCTAGTCTCCTCTGCAGGTGTCTTCTCCATACCCTTATCACCTACATTGCAAAATGTCTTCTCCATACCCTTATCACCTACATTGCAAAATAATTTTGTTTTTGAACATACACTTATGAGCGAGGAAAGAAATAAATATCTTTTTTTACCTCTTGCATTTGATCCTCCACCTGTTTCATACACTCTCCCCACATCTTCATACTGAAAATCCATAAAATCTGAATCTCTCCTTTGATCAGCTATTTTCATTTCTACAGACTTCAGTCTTGTGTCCATCTCATGAACCTTCTCATTAATCTTCCTAAACCCTTCTTCCATTTTCTCGTTAATCTTTATAAACCCTTCTTCCATCTTCTTCAACACATCCTCACTTCCTACCGCTTCAGTATCTGTCGGTTTGGGCAATGGCTGGTCTTCTCGGGATTTAACATCTAATAGGTACAGATCCTTCAAGTGTATCTTCTTCTTTTGTTGGACTAAAATCGTGTGCCAACTATCAACAACAGGGTCAGAAACAGCATCATCCTCTCCTACTTCGAAGTCATCCCATACATGCTCGTCTAGGATGTCAAGCAAGAGTTTGGCTTCTCCATCTTCAGGTACCAAGATACTGATAATATCCTGTTTAACGAAAAACAAAAATTAAATTAAACTAAATCTCTAATAATGTATAAATATAAAATGAAAGGAGACTCCTAAACCTTTGTATCTCCAAGCACTTCATAAATATCAGCTAAAGAAAATCATGTTTTGCCTGTTCTCTTAAACTTCCACTTGCACATTTTTGGACAATCACCATCTGCATTCCCAACTTTTTCTTGAAATGCTGCTTTTAGAACCGGGATAGATTCAAACGCCAAAATCTGCACACATATAATCGTACTAGTTATGCTAGTTCTACCAATAATACCAGTTCAACTAGTTGTACCCGAAACACGAGTTGTACCAATACTACTACCTATACACTATATCAAGTTGAACCAAGAATACTAGTTGTACTAATACTACGATTTTTAGTTGTACAAGTTATACTGAATTTAAAACATATAACATTACCTCTAAAGGCAATATGAACCCCGGAAAAGTCCAATTCCCTCGAACAGATCCTCCAAAATGATCCACCAGATGTGCAACCTCAGCTAAGACGTCATCAAAAGTGAAACGACCCCAGGGAAACGTTTCACACAGATCCAGATCATCCACCACTCGGAGAATGAATGGGTCTATGGATCCACCATATTTCTTGGACTTTCCTTTGATGACAGTTGCTAAGAAGAAAAGTACAACCATCTTCAACCGATCAGTACAACCTTCAATGAAATCCATTGATTCCAGCTTCTCACGCACCTCTTTGACCTCAATATTGGTCTTTCCAAACTGCTCCTCCACAAAATACATACTCCCTAACTGCTCATAGTCGGCTGGATAATGGTGGCAGAATAATCCTGAAAGAAGGCCGTGTTCTCTGATTGAATACCGAACAGGCACACCATTCACAACAAACCAACACTGCCGCTGCTTGTCTGTCACTGCTGTTCGGAGAAGCAACATCCACATTCCCATTAACATTCTATTCTTCTGGATAAACATGTGGACAATATGCTTGAATTGTGGGTGGTTCTCAAACCAGTTTCTCTCTGAGATATCAAGCCTCTTGAAGACTTCCATGAAATTAAAGGTTTCACACCTTGATTGAAGCTTCGGGTATAACCGATACTCGCTTTGCTTGAAGAATAAACCTCGAGGTTCCATCGGTATTGAGACGTCCTCTTGCTGCAATCAAAACGCATAGGATAAGTGAATATAAGTGTATTGGTACAACTAGTATTCTTGGTACAACCAAAACCAAAAAATAAGTTGTACGCGATAATTCCAGTTGTACTAAACTACATTTCGTTCAACCACAAGCAAAAATCAGTTGTACGCGATAATTCCAGTTGTACTAAACTACATTTCATTCAACCACAAGCACAAATCAGTTGTACGCGATAATTCCAGTTGTACTAACCGGTAGACCACAAGCAAAACTCAATTGTACACGATAATTCTAGTTGTACTAAACTACATACCGGTTGTAATGGATCAACATTTGAGTTTGAACCCAATCCTTCTTCTGATGCAGTAGCATACTCAGCCTCAGATCTCTCTGGTTGAGAAGGTGAACCCCTAGTCGACATCCTCCAAAAATTCTGAAACAAAAAATCAGAAATCAGTTGGGGTTTAGGGTTGAGGGAAGAAAATCATAAATTCAGGTTTTAATTACTCTTAAGCCTAGAAGATACATGTTCGGCGATGACGGAAGTGTGAAACGACGGTGGTGGCAAGCCTAAAACGGCGACGGCGACGACCCTAAATCTGAAGGGTGAAGAGTGGAGAGTGAGTGCGAGTGAGTGGCGGTGAGCGAAGAGTGTGGGGATTTAATCGAAGAGGAAGAAGATGATGGAAGAAGACGAAAATGATGGAAGAAGATGATGAATCGAAGAGTCCGAAAATGATGGAGTATGGAGATAATGGGGAATCGATCGAAGAGGGGAGACGAAGGAGGCGGGAATAGATCCGATTTTGGAGGGGGTGGGGTTTAGGTTTAGGTTTGCTTTCTGGTTTAATTAAATTGGTTGGTTTAAAGGTTGGTTTAAAATAATTAAATTGGTTTAGTTTAATCATTTTGGTTAATTAAATTGGATCTGGTTTGAGTCCGGTTGGATATGTATTTTGGTTATTCATTAATGGTTTTTTGGTCTTTTTATACCCTTTTGTATTAAAAAGAAAATCAAAAACAAAATATAGAGATAAAAAGAGTATATGAGAATTTCTTATAAGGGAGAGGAGTATGTGAGGTTAAGCTCCTGAACGATTAAGCTACAATAAATAAAGATTTGTTAAGTAATAAGGAAAGAAACAACAAAGACGTCACACGTGGCAGTATCGGGCTTATGCTGTTGTTGGGAATTGGAATAGCTTACAAATACGCACAAGCCTCCTCTCCTCCTTCAAGCTCTGACTCATCATAACCCAAGCTTTTTCAAGAACCAAGGTCAACATTTTCTTCTACTCTCTCGATCTTGTTCAGTCTCTCTCTCTCTCTCCCTTACGTTCCCCTTTTGATCTCTCTCTCTATCGTCTACATTTGAGCTGCCTCTCTTGTTATTATCATCACATCACGTTTTCTAGGTGTCGTGTAGTGAGATTCATCTGGGATTTGATTGATTGATCGATGGATTTAGATTTTTCAAGAAACGCGTAGAGTTGTTCGGTGGAAGTTGTTCAAATCGGAAGCCGATCGCGGAGTGGTTTGGTTTGATTACGTCGCAATCAGTACGATTTTCCAATACTCGATCAAACGTAAGCTGAATTTTTTTTGTGGTTGTTCGTATCTGGTTTAACCATATTCGATTCTCTTCGATATGTCTCTCTTTGTGATTATAATATTTATTTAACCTTGTTGATTTCCCCTTTTTGCGGAATTGATTCCGGTTTCGAGTATTCTACCTATTGATTTGTCCGCATATGCTTATTCGCATTTTGTTTTGTTTTTATACTCGTTTAGTCAGAATCATGATTTTTGTTTTGTTTTTGTTTTGTTTGGTAAACGGTTGGTGTTTTTTTTTTTTTATAATAAATTCTTGATAGATTTGCATCTGGGTTTTGGTTGTAGTTAAGAGTGAAGGAGATAGTAAAGAAGGAAATCCATTCTTGAAAAGGAATTAAATAGCCAAAAAGGGATGCCTTTAAGTTTAGGCAACGATGTCGATGGATCTTCCCGGATTATTTTGACTGAGCCTCGCGGTTCAACTGCAGAGGTTTGACTCTTTCCTCTAATTCTTTTTCTTTCCATCATTTCCCTTAAGAGGTTTTCAGATCATAGCATATACTTTTCAGTAATTAGTGCTTTGATCCCTTGTATCGCTAAGCTATGCAAGGAGATGTTTATATCTTGAACAAGTGTGTAATGAAAGATGCTTTTATGGAACTTTGCTTGCCTTCATCTGTTGTTGACATGATTAGAGAAAGCTCTGTGCGGGACTTACTTATTCTCGGATTGAAATCTTTCAGGTGCTTCTGTTTGGAGGACAAGTGATTTCCTGGAAAAATGAAAGGAGGGAAGAACTGCTTTATATGAGCAGCAAGGTAAGCTGTAATCAAATCATCTTTACATCTATATCCTAGGGGAGCTCTGATGGGGTCACTCAATTAACTCAAACCCACATGTGCTTTATTTATCTTTGGCCTCAGTTCCCAACTATTGCTCCGTAGCTTCTCTCATTTTCTGTCATGTGTAACTTTGATATGTTGATAGAGATGTTCCTTCTGGTGACCTTTCCTTTGCACTATGTATCCTGTGGCATGAATTAGGAGGCTGTCTGTATAAGTATTCAATAGACAACATTACTTCCCACTAATGAGCTAAGCAGGATTTTTTAACTACTTTTTTTTTTTTTTTTTTTTTGCCGTGTCTCATTTAGGCTCAATATAAGCCACCCAAGACGATCAGAGGAGGAATACCTGTTTGCTTTCCACAGGTCAGATCACTTTAACATAGTTGAATAAACGTTCTCCTGTGTTTTCGTACCACCATCAATAATACGGTGCCATCTTTGCAGTTTGGAAACTTTGGTGGACTTGAGCGACATGGATTTGCCAGGAACAGAGTTTGGTCACATGATGACGATCCTTCGCCTCTGCCTCCTGCTAACAAACAATCATCAGTTGATCTGATATTGAAGTCCACAGAAGATGACCTGAAGATCTGGCCTCACAGGTGGGTGGGAGAGAGATCTGCGATCTTGCAGCCGCATGTCTTCCTCTTTGCTCATTTTATAAGATTTGGATGTATTGTCTGTGCTTCATAATTACCATCTGGCTAACTTCATAATTCTTTGATGTTATTTGCGCAGCTTTGAACTCCGTGTTCGCATCTCTATCAGCCTTGGGAAACTTACTTTGATCCCTCGTGTGAGGAACATCGACTCAAAGGCATTCTCCTTTATGTTTGCACTTCGAAACTACTTATATGTATCTGACATAAGGTGTGCCTTTCAAATTTCTTCCCATCTGATTTCCTCTACTTAGATTGCTTACTTTCTCCTCCCCTGAGTAGTGGTTGATATTAATGGTGGGTATTGAATTTCCAGTGAAGTACGGGTCGAGGGTCTGGAGACACTTGATTACCTAGACAACTTGATGGGTAAAGAAAGATTCACCGAGCAAGCAGACGCAATTACCTTTGACGGTGAGGTAAGTAACGACAGCCATTGTTTTCCCCTGAAGCTTTTCAAAAGAAATAAAAAAAAAATTTGATACAGAGTCAGTGCGGTGCAGATTGATAGAGTGTACCTGAACACGCCAACAAAGATTGCTGTCATAGATCACGAGCGAAAGAGAACCATCGAGTTGCGAAAGGAAGGCATGCCGAATGCAGGTGTGGTCACTGTAACTAGATAAAACAAAAAAGATAGCATTGTCTCTCTTCTTAGACCTGTTTTGAGTTTGGTTTGTAATGGGATTGAACTTTTGGAAAATGAGCAGTTGTGTGGAACCCGTGGGACAAAAAGGCAAAGAGCATAGCTGATATGGGGGATGAAGATTACAAGACGATGCTTTGCGTAGATTCTGGAGCTATCGAACCTCAGGTTTTGTTAAAGCCTTGTGAAGAGTGGAAAGGCAGACAAGAACTCTCTATCGTCTCATCCAGCTACTGCAGCGGACAACTTGATCCACGCAAGGTTCTTTACGGAGATAACTGATCCCTCTCTTTTTTTGCTTTTTCTTGCCAAAAGTAGAAAACAATAATAAGCCCACATGATGATCAACTTCTCAAGGTGTCTGTCTATGTTTTGAATTCGGAGCTATCCTTTCACACTTTTTTTTTTTTTTTTTCTTCTTCTTTTCTGATTGTTTTACACAGAAGAGAGAGAGGTCACGGTCATATTTTGTAACGTTGACTCCTGTGTTTGACCGTCAAACAAAAATCAAAAATGTATCGGCGTTCTTTGATTCGTGAAACCTTTTATGGCCCTAAATATCATCATTCAGCCCATTAATGAAATCATTGTCCATCAATCACTTTTCTAGTTTTAAAGTATTATTGGTTATAGCACATTTAAAAAAAAAAATTAATCTGCCAATTTGAATTTGAATCTACCGCAAACCTATTCAAAATAGTTTTTTCTCTTTTTTTCCAAATATATATGATATCATATGACGTATTCCGTTATATAGATTTTGATGAATATAAGACCCCATAAAGTGAAGTAGTGAACCCTCCATTATCCATCGGTAAGTTGTGTTTGTTGTCTCAACTTTTTGCTTCGGTTTTTAATTATCTTGTTAAAATCATAAATAAACACGAAATTACGGGTAAAATATGAGTTTTTATTTTTGGCTTGGTGAGCAAGTTAGTGTGGCCCTACATAAATATAACTTAATTACAAAATGGCCATTCAGCTCGGTTCCCGAAGCTCCCAAGTGGTTCGGTGTTGCACAGAACGTTAAGAAACCAAAGGCTCGTATCCGAGGCAATCTCTTAGTCAAGGCCAGTGAAGACAAGTCTTGCCCGAAGCTAAGGTTCGTCAATTGTGTTCTTGAGAAGCTTTCCTCGAGGCTTAGGCACTGCGTAAACTCCACTTTCCCGCTCACGGCAGACTCGGTCTTGTTCTTGTCTTCACGCGTTCACTCTACAGTCCATTTTTACTTAGCCTAGTGGACAACCTCAAAGCTCACTCTCTCTCTATTTATCTATATATTTCTCTCTCGGTTTTCCCTTTCTTTGTTTTGGAAGTCATGGCGAGGTAAGCTTTGAACCCTAATGTTAAGCCCCCGATTTTGTTGATTTGATTTCACCCAATCGATTTTCTCTACGTTTCTTCCCCTCGATTCGTTCCGCAAAAGGCGTCTCCTTTGAAAGAAAGGGGCACTTGTTTTACTCGCAAAGATTGGTTAATTTTCTTTTACAAGTTCTTCTAGTTTGGGGCATTGTCTGTCTGAATCGGTTTATAGCTTTCAGTTTTTGAGAATTTAGGAGAAATATGGGCTCTTCTGCTCTGCGTATCTGTGAGATTTTGTGTCTGCGAGTACTTGCTTGAATCCCTAATGTATCTATGTAGAATGAAAGAACTCGGAGTGGTTGTTTTCCTAGAGATGATGATTTCCTTCTTTGAGCAGCAGCTGTTCTGTTTATCCTTTAAATTTGTGTTCTTGTAACGAAATTTCCCAACTTTATGTACAGTGCTTGGATTGTAGATGGGCGAGGAATCGCAACCAAAGTGAAGAATGCGTCTGTCTCTTCAGCTGTGCAGATCAAAGACTGTGGAGCTTCTATCAATTGCCCCAACTGCTCTTACCGCATTGACAACAGCAATGTGAGACTTCCTCTCCGCCTCCTTTCTTGTCTGAAACAGAACAAGTCTTATTTAGCTTCTCGGTTTCAGGTGCTGGTTCCATGGCCTGGCCTTCCTAAAGGCGTCAAGTTTGAGCCAACTGATGAGGACATCATTGAATTTCTGGAAGCTCAATGCGGGGTTGGTGGCTCAGAGCCGCACGTGCTTATCGAAGAGTTTATTCGTCCAGTCACTGAAGATGTTGGAATCAATTACACTCACCCTGAAAACCTTCCTGGTAAAAATTGTTGTTCCTCGATGGAAACTTGAAATTACTTAATCTTGAACCTCTTGATGAGTTTCCCGAGGTATATTGACCTCCTTGGGCTTTGTTCACTCTCCTCAGGTGCAAACAAAGATGGAGTAAGTGTCTTCTTCTTTCACAAGACGGTGCAGGCATATGGAACAGGACAAAGGAAACGCAGAAAGATCACACCCACATGCCTGAGCGAGGAACCAGTTCGCTGGCACAAGACAGGGAGAACCAAACCAGTGTTGCTCGATGGAGTGCAAAGGGGCTGCAAGAAGATTATGGTGCTCTACAAGAGCGCTAGAAAGGGATCAAAGCCCGAGAAATCAAACTGGGTCCTTCATCAGTACCATCTGGGCACGGAAGGAAATGAGATAGGAGACTATGTGGTTTCAAAGATCACATATCAGCAGCAGAAACTAGGAGATGAAGGGGAGAGTTCCGGGGTTAGAGGTGGCCCAAGAACACCCAAGACGAATACTCCTACACCACCTAGACCTTTGGCTGGCGCTGCTGCCGATGAAGAAGCTTTTGATGATGCAAACATTTTTGATCCATCTCCTGAGGTCAATAGATGTTTGTTAGTAGTAACCACCCCAAAGAAAGAAAACAAAAAAATCAACATTTTGGCTTTGTTTTCTAGAGACTAAAGTCGGTGGTTTGTTTTTTTTTTTTTTTCAGGGACTGGACAGCATTCCAGAAGCTGTTTTGGGGTGCAAAAAAGCTCGAATAGATGAGGATTTTGTTGTAAACCTCAGTGAAGATAACTTAACATGCAACGAAAGCATTGAAGCTTCGTCTCTTTGGGAAAACCAGCTTCTCCCTAATCCTAGCGTCGCCACTTTCGGGGAATTAGATGGTTTTGCGCTTTCAGATCTAGAGATTGCAGATTTGGGGACTCCCCCTGATTTTCTCACTGTAAGATCTATTATATATAAAAAACCATTCTTCTACACTTTGTTTTTTGCTAGAATCATTGTAAGATTGGAACTTGGACCCTGATTTCGATTTCTCATGGGTTTTGCAGTTGGCTTCTCAGGAGAGCTTGTTGAATTGGATTGGATGGCTGTGATTGGATTCTTTGCTGCTAAATGCAGAACCTCTAAAATGGCGTTTTCTCAGTAAAAAACGTAGAGAAATGCCGATGAAAGATGAAGAAGAAGGAGGCAAAAACAGGAATGTGTATAAATAAGAAAACTTTAAAGTCTGCCAAGCTGAAGTCATATCTCTGTGATAATTTTACTTCAGCAAATTCTCAGGCGATCAGTTTTCTCTCGGATTCCCGGAATGTTACTTATAAAGTTCCGGGACTAAATCATTTCAATCTCGGAATCTTCACTTGATTGTAATTCAAAAAGACATTTTGACCGTTGTTTACTTGCTCTCTGTTGTGTTTACTCTGTTTTGTTTGACTAAGGTCTGAGACGGTTATAAATAATATATGTTCTGGTATTTACCATTCTCACCATGTATTAAATCCCATTTTTTCCGGGGTTATAATAGATACTGTAACATCTGTTTATAAAGAAATTTAAGACTCGTCTGTATTTTTTAACATCAGACACGTAATAGAATCAAGTTTTGTTTCCAACTGTTCTGATCAGATCCGTAAAATTACAACATTAGAAAAAAAAAATCGGAGGCTATAAATCCCTTGTATATACAGAGAAGAAAAAAAGAGAAAGAGAGAGCAAAAGGTGTAAGCCGTTTTGTGAGAAGATGACCTAAAAGTAAAAACTAAAAGGAGAGGAGGTGATAAGTGAGAGATAGGCTATCAGGCAGTATCTCGTTTGCAGTTACCAGGTAATAAGTAGTTGTAACTATGAGCATTCTGGATCAGATATGCAGGGAGATGAACAGCCGAGTAAGACCTTGGAATAGGACCAAGTTTCCCGATAATCTCTCTGAAAGTGTGTTCTTCAGGGAGCATATCGAAAAGATCAGTTCCTTTGCAGATAACATCTTGGATTCGTTTCGGGTTCAGATAGTGTAAGAATCTGACCCGGTCGGTATGGCTATAAGCTTTCATCTTGAAGACAAAATCTTTGATGTGTCTGAAACAGAAGCTGCAATGCCAGCCTGAATCCGCCAAAAGATTGTCGCTTTGGCGGAAATGAGCGTACCTTGTTTTCCCAGGCTTGTAGAGATGAACAGAAGCTCTCCAGCTTTTGCTGTCGACGTAGAACTCGTATGAGTAGAGATAGTTTCTCAGCTGAAGATGAAGAATCGGTGGGAATCCGTCACACCATCTTAGCAGGTTTATGGTGTGACCGCTTGGGATCTCATCGACATCCGACATAATCAAAAGATCATCTTCTTTTATGCCCGCGAGTTTGATCAGTTGGTCAAGCGCCAGCCTTTGGAACGATTCTTCCACAAACGGGTTCTCGCCTTTCTTGAATCTGCCTCCAACTTGGCCATAAGCCAGCCTTGGCTCAACGAATTTGAATTCCTTGTCCCGGTTGTCCGCGAAAGCCAACGGTTTTGGCAGTCCGGTGAAAGTTGAGTTCGATTCAAGAAGCACAAACTGCGTGATGTAAGGATTCAACTCCTTCCAACGTATAGCCAGCATGTCGATCTCGTTACTGAACAAGACAGCGTCAAAGACTCTTCGAGGAGACTCGCGGATTTTCCAGCCATGAAGACTGCAGAGCGTTTCCATGGAAGTGTTGTCGTGGTAGTAATGCGGAAGGATGTTGTTAAATGGTTTTGGAGGTGACTCCCATAGAGGTCTCAAGAAATGCGTGATCTTCTGACCGTGTAAGTAGATACCGAAGATGCACACTGGCACGAGAGTGAAGAGAAACAGATATGTTTTCAAATCGATTCCTCTTAGGACACATTTAAGCCTTGACATGGCCTTGCCTGCTCGAGAGCCCTCCTGAAAAATATATTACCCAGAAACTCAAACATCACAAACCGCAACAGAGTATCACATAACAAAACAAGAGAAACAGATCTGTTTTCCAACTTAAGGAATGGAATATCTTAATATAGCGTTCTGAAGAACTGAAAATCCCTCGAAACCCGGAATCTAAGAATCTCAAGCTTCTCTCAACTATATTTTCAGAACAACAAACAAACAAGAAAGATACGTCAATGAAGTAATTGATTTCCTTGAGAGAAAACAATGCAAATCATAAACAACAACACTTGAGTATGATAAAGAATCAAAGACTAATAAGCCTTTGAATCAGATGAGAAAAAACCCATAAATTCACCTGTCCACAAACATCTTGGCAGATATTATCAGTCTTCTTTGAACTACAATAACCATCAGACATGATTATTATACCTTAGGGAGAAAGCCAAATATTTTCAGATTTCTCGACAAAGTTTTATCAGGAATGCCGGATTTTCTCAACAAAAAAAAAAACGAGAGAGAGAGAGAGAGAGAGAGAGAGAGAGAGATATGTCAGTCTATAGGAGGAAGATGAAATCCGAAAAAATCTGGATTGAGATGGATCCCTCTTTTCTTTCAGAGAAACTGTAACACCAATTATAGCCGTTTGGTGCTTTTTAGCTTCCATTATATCTCCCTGCTAATTACAAACATTCCTTACTCTTTAATTAACTCCCTGCTTAATTTTCCAAAAACAGAAAACAATGTTACAGTAGATTAAATAAAAACGAAAATATCACTACCAAAGAAAAATTTCATCCGTCAGATCTTACGAAGATTTCAAGTCTAATGATAAAGGCCCAAAATCAGAAATCTTTTGTTTTTTTTTTTTTTTTAATTAATCTTATTGATAACTAAGATTAATAATCTCTCAAAATTTAAAATAGTAAAAAGCATTTTAGGCCGGACGTTTAAAAAAAAAAAAAAAAAGAAAGATTTGTGAGCCGATTATGAGACTGCGAAATGAAACCCCCAACGACGATAATGGCGACGACTACGGCGAAGGAGGAGGGGAAAGAGCCGAGGAAAGAGCCGCCGTCGCCGCCTCCACTGCCACCAGGAGTTAAGTGTATGGTTCAGCGGTGGCGGAGATGGACGGTGTTGGTAGCGGCAATATGGATACAAGCATTCACGGGGACAAACTTCGATTTCGCGGCCTACTCATCGGACATGAAGTCGTCGTTGGGGTTTTCTCAATCGAGGCTGAATTACATGGCCGTGGCTTCAGATTTGGGCAAAGCATTGGGTTGGTCTTCGGGTTTCGCGATTGCGTATTTCCCCGTCTCCGCTGTTTTATTCGCCGCCGCCGGAATGGGCCTCGTCGGTTACGGCGTCCAGTGGTTAGCCATCGCCGATGTAATCGATCTGCCTTACGCTCTGGTAGTGGGTTGCTGCTCCTTAGCCGGACTTAGCATCTGCTGGTTCAACACCGTCTGCTTCATCCTCTGCGTTCGGCACTTCGAATCCAACCACTCGCTCGCCTTGTCTCTCGTTGTCAGTTTTAACGGGATCAGTGCTGCCTTGTACACGCTTGGCCATGAAGCTATTTGTGCCGAATCATCTTCAAGCTCTGATATTTACCTTCTCCTTAACTCTCTCATCCCTTTGATCGTCTCTGTTTTAGCCCTTTGGCCGGTCCTTACCAACCCTGATTCCTCTGAGCCCGACACTAGTCGGAGTCGTGACGAAACCCCAATCTTCGTCGTCTTCAATGTCTTAGCCTTGATCACTTGCTTTTACCTTCTCTTGCCTTCCTCTAACACCTGCTTGGCTTCTTCACCTCGTTGGCATTTCCTCGGTGCCATTGCCCTTCTCCTTTTCCCATTGTTCGTCCCGTTTCTCGACCCTGCTCTCCAGTCCTGTTTCCGCCAACGCAGCTCTGGCTATGAAAAAGTGGTTAACTTAGAGGAGCCCAAATCAAACGAAGAGGAGGAATGTGATAAATTAGGGCTAGGAGATGAACATTCTCTTGAAATGCTGGTTCGTAGGCTGGAGTTTTGGCTATACTACACAGCTTATTTCTGCGGGGGCACGATCGGTCTTGTATACAGCAACAACTTAGGACAGATCGCTCAGTCTCTAGGACAAAGCAGCTCAAACGCTAAATCCTTAGTCACACTCTTCTCTGCCTTCTCCTTTTTGGGAAGGTTGCTCTCCTCTGCACCTGACTTCACACGCAAGAAACTGGACTACTTGACAAGAACAGGCTGGTTCACCATTTCGCTACTGCCAACACCTTTGGCGTTCTTCATCCTCGCTTATTCATCCAAGACTTACCAGACCGCGCTATTACAAGTTGCGACCGCACTTATCGGGTTAAGTTCAGGGTTCGTTTTCGCGGCCGCGGTTTCTATAACCTCCGACCTCTTTGGACGCAACAGCGTTGGTGTTAACCAGAATATCCTCATCACGAACATTCCCATCGGATCGCTCTTCTACGGCTACATGGCTGGCTCTGTCTACGAAACCAATGCGAGCCTCGGCACGCAATCTGTGGTCTCGGACTCGGTTGTTTGCGTTGGAAGTAACTGTTACTTTATAACGTTTTTGTTCTGGGCTTGTTTGTCTGTTTTGGGGTTCGTATGTAGCTTGTTTCTGTTTATTAGAACCAGACCGGTTTATCACCGGTTAGAAGAAAACAGATTCTAAATCGTCGTTTTACTTTAGTATCATCAACGGCCTTTATAAATGGATTCTAGATTGATCGGATCCAAGATGCTTAGATATCCTCTTTGGATCTTCTCGGTGAAAAAAAAAAAAAAAACTCAATGTAGTATACATTCAAAACCTTCGTCAATTTGAAATTTCCTCGTAAATTCCCACCTAAATTTAAGTGAAAGACACGCTTTGTCATCATAAGTTACTGGTTTGTCCACAACAGTATAATTGGAATAGTTATCTTTATTAATTAGATGATTAACGGAATTGACTAAATCCTTATTACTACAATCTAACACTTGTATATCACATGATCGGTAAAAAAAAAAAAAAACAGAATCGTACTAATGCCTACTATCACGTAAACTTTTAGCGTAAATAAAACCACACAAGCAGCCTGGAGGCCGTCAACGTGTCATTATCTGAGCCGATAAGCGTAATTCAACATACTAAATGGGCCCCATGAGTGGTTAAACTGTAAGAATGAAGCTAAAAAGTGGAGTAGTAATAAATAGTGCAATCGATGCGATGGATAAAAAAAGAAAGTGAAAAAAAGGCGCAAGGGAGATGGATCAGGATCAGGATCCGAAATCCACGGGTTCCGGCGACACTACGGCGGCGATTGAGCACAAGTCGTTCGCTCGGATCGGATATCTGGGGAACCCAAGCGATGTTTACTTCGGGCGTACCATAGCCTTCACTATCGGCAACTTCTGGGCGTCCGTAAAGCTCGAGCCGTCCGAACATCTCTTCATCAAGCCTCATCCATTCCACGATCTTGTCCAGTTCACCTCTCTCGACCATCTCGTACGCCTTCTTTCCTCCATTTTTTTTTTTCAATTTCTCTCTGCCTGACCCAATTGTTCTCATTAGTGTTATTTCTTTTCATCGATCGCTGCTTATCTGCATTTCGATTACAATGTTGCTACGCTTCAAGGTGATTTTTCGTTTTCGAATTTCAGACTCTTTTCCTTTCTCTCGAGGTTTTCGGCTTGTTGGAAATGGGTGATTTGGATGCATTTCTTTTTCTATTATTGTGTATATATTTCTGATTTGGGTATTTTCAGCTTCTTCTTAGGTAGTTTCCCGATTTGGTCTTGAATTTTTACTTTTGGATAGTGAAACTGGTTTTCTTCTGGCACTTGAAACCTGTAAAAATTATTTCGCGCTTCGTGGTTCATGCTTCTAAACTTGTAACTCTGAGATTGGATTTTTGGATTTCAAGGTGTGGTAACCTGTAAACATTTTTTTGTTCTTCCTTTAGCTGAGTCGCTTGCAAAATGAAGGTTACTACGGTGGTGTAAGGTTGCTAATGGCGATTTGTAAAGTATTCTGTAACTATTGCAAAGATAATGGCATCCAACTTCATCAACGGAACTTCACTCTTTCTTACGATACCAATATCCCTAGGCAGGTATAGATAGTTTGCTTCTGCGAACACCCTTTCTTCATGATTGATATTTGTTTTCATGCGGGTGATTTTCGAATCCTGTTTTTTTATTTTTATTTTGTTTGTCGTACATTGCTGATGCTCTAGTATTGATGTTCCAGACAGGGCTCTCAGGTTCTAGTGCCATCGTATCCGCTGCTCTTAGCTGCCTTCTTGACTTCTACAACGTCAGGCATATGATCAAAGTACAAGTTCGGCCTAATCTTGTTCTCAATGCAGAGAAAGAACTTGGTATTGTCGCAGGCCTTCAAGACCGGGTGGCTCAGGTGTATGGTGGTCTTGTTCACATGGTGTGTGGCGGTCATATCTATACATAGCCTCCTTTGGTTCCATCACTTTGTGACTTTGATGATCTTCACTTTGCAGGATTTTAGCAAGCAACACATGGATAAATTGGGACATGGGATTTACACTCCTATGGATATCACTCTCCTTCCGCCTTTGCATCTCATCTATGCTGAGAATCCTAGCGACTCAGGGAAGGTACGCACCATTAACCGACTCAGTACAATCGTTTAAGAGAAAATTACTCTTGAAAAGCTAGCTGATTCCATCATTAAATGACAATAAAGTCAGCGCATATTTCAGTCTCTGTTACATGTTCTTTGATATGAGCATTTGGTTTCTACTGACTCTGCAGGTACATAGCAGGGTTCGGCAGAGATGGTTAGACGGTGATGAGTTGATAATCTCATCAATGGAAGAAGTTGGAAATCTAGCAGAAGAAGGTCGAACTGCATTACTCAACAAGGACCACTCCAAACTCGTGGAGCTTATGAACCGTAACTTTGACCTGCGGAGGTAAATCTGCTTGGAGATAAAATTGCAGTATATACACAACTAACCTCCATGAGCACATTTAGTGATGGCCTTTTATTATGCTAGGAGGATGTTTGGGGACGAATGCTTAGGAGCAATGAACATAGAGATGGTGGAAGTTGCAAGGAGGGTTGGTGCAGCTTCAAAGTTCACTGGAAGTGGAGGAGCAGTGGTGGTTTTCTGTCCTGACGGTCCATCTCAGGTGAAGCTTTTGGAAGAAGAATGTCGGAAATCGGGATTTATACTTGAGCGGGTGAAGATTGCCCCTTCATGTTTGAATGATTCCGACATTCACGCCTTATCAAAGCCTTGATTGATTGAGTCGAGAATTTACTTCCCACTTCCAGAGAGCTTTTGCTTTTGTTGTTTCGGTACTTGTCATCAACTCAGGGGATCAAGCCTTTATGCGCTCACACCCCTTTTTTTTTATGTTCATTTTTTTATTTTCTTTCTCTTGCATATTTTTCTATTTTGTTCCCCGTCTTTTCCTTGGCTTTATCCCTTTCTTCAAACTTTAAACTGTTTTATTTTTTTTTCATGCAGTTTTCCATTTAAAACTTTTTTATATTTGTGAAAAATATCTTATACAGAAGCTAGAATAAACATTATGAAAAAGGATCTTGAAATTGAGAAATCATTTGGAAGGAACAAAAACAGATAATTAGTGCGATACATGTCACTAGTTTCTACTTGGAGTACTTATACGGTTATACCTAACATAAAAGTTTAAAGATGTGGACGATAATAGGTAGTTAAAAAAATAGATAAAAAAAAAGAAAACTATATAGCAAAGTATATATCAAGAAATGATCAATTGAATAACTAACTATACATAATGAAGAGATTAAATTTGGTCCGGACTTTGTAGTTGGAGAATAACTTGGTGGGGTAATTTTTGGAAAAATAATGGGTGGGTTTAGAAGTTTCCTGCCTTACTGGATAGAGTTGTTATTTAAACTAATAAAATTTTATAAAGTGATATGGATCACTGATTTGATCCAAAAGTATAAAGAAATGAAATTTATGATTGAAACGTGAAAGCAAAACAATAAACAACAGAAAAAGGTTAGATTGCTTTTCGAACAAAAGGGAAAAAAATTAGGCGAAATGTATTTTCCATTTGTGATTCAATCCACCATTGAAGATCCCTTGACCTGTTGACAACAACAACAAAGCAAAGATCCCTTTGCTGATCTTGTCAAGGCTTTTGTGAATAGTCTTCTCGTTTCTTCTTCTTCTTCGTCGTCGTCTAGTTGACACATAAAAAAGGTGGGATTTGTGTATATTATATAGTCCTCGATCGATTAGATTAAAATCCCCTCCCTGGTGTTAATCTTCCAATAAAATATATATATTTTCTGTTTTGATTTAACTTGAGAAAAATAAAATTTGAAACGAGTAGTTTCGTCAGATTTCTAGGTTTTATAAAATCTGAAATTCTTACTTTCTTTCAAAATTGGGAAAAGGTTGAATTTTTGGTAACGGCAGGCAAGTCGGTGATCCAGGTAACGTGATTGAATGAATCTCCTTCATCTTCATTGTTATAAGTTAAAAGACTAAAGAAAGAGAACTTCAACCTCTTTTTCTCTTGTAAGCGGTTCCTGGATCCTATTGTTCTTTGACCATTCAACCTTATAATTGTATTGCGCTCTCTGTTAGGTCTCCTGAGATCACAAAAAGTTTCAATTTTTTTTTCTATTTAATTCTGTTCTTCTCCTTCTCGCAGGATAAGATTCTAACTTCCGAATCTTTTTATGCAGGTATTGATATATTTTTTGCTTACAATCTGAATAAAGTTTGATGGGAGGAAATAATTCGAAAGAAGAATGGAGGCAAGAGCCGTCATCATCATCATCATCAACAACATCATCAACATCATGGGCTTCTCATCAAAGTTATCCTCAATATGGACCAGATAGCTACAACTATCCTCCTGCACCTACTTATGCTCCTGCTCCGGCTCCAGCTCCTGTTCCGGCTCCAACTCCAGCTCCGGCTACGGCTCCGGCTTCAGCTCCGAGTTTTGGCCACCATCTTCAGCCGCCGTATAGCCAAGAGGGCTATGCGTATCCTTATCCTCCTCCACAGGCTTCACAAAGTCATGGTAGTGACGGGAAGAAATTTGATCGGAGGTATTCCAAAATATCTGATAATTACGCGTCTTTAGATCAGGTGAGTTTTGAGACAACGATTGATATACAGTTGGATTTGCCTGAATGTGTTGAAATCGATGTGACTGAATGATTTCAGGTGTCGGAGGCTCTAGGGCGTGCAGGTCTTGAATCTTCGAATTTAATTGTTGGTATTGATTTCACCAAGAGCAATGAATGGACAGGTTCGTTAAATTTTCTTGCTTAATATAAGTTAGCCAAGGAGAAGACCAACTACTGTAATTGGTTTCGTGCAGGTGCCAATTCTTTCAATAGGAAAAGTTTGCATCATATAAGCAATACTCTAAATCCTTACGAACAAGCAATAACTATCATAGGAAGAACTTTAGCCGCCTTTGACGAGGATAACCTAATTCCTTGCTATGGTTTTGGAGACGGTAATCACTGCTTTGTCTCTATTATATTATATCTCATGCAAGTTCAGATTATGGTTCAGTATATCATCAATATTTGCTTTCATCTCTTTGCAGCATCAACTCATGATCAAGACGTGTTTAGTTTCTATCCAGAGGGTAGATTCTGTAATGGATTTGAGGAAGTACTAGCTCGCTATAGAGAAATTGTACCTCAGCTTAAGCTCGCAGGTCTATTTTTCTTATCTGGCTTGCGCTAGCCTTCTGTATCTCCTTGTATAACGCAAGTTAAGTACTTAGAAGACCGTGTTTTTCTGTTTAATATTTCAGGACCGACTTCTTTTGCCCCCATTATTGAAATGGCCATGACAGTGGTTGAGCAGAGTAGTGGCCAATATCATGTGTTAGTGATTATAGCCGATGGACAGGTAGGTACTAGTTCACATTTTGATGCCTAAGTTGTGGTATGATCCTCTGATCTCTGTGTCTGAGGATATCAATTTGGACTCAATTTGTCGTTTCAGGTTACAAGAAGCGTCGATACGGAACATGGGCAGTTAAGTCCGCAGGAACAGAAGACTGTCGATGCAATTGTGAAAGCAAGGTGCGAATATTTCGCCATTCCATTATAAAGTTGGTTTCTTTACGTGTTTTGTAAAATCAGTTCCCTCCTTTCTGTTGCAGTACACTTCCTTTGTCAATAGTCTTAGTTGGGGTCGGAGACGGACCATGGGACATGATGCAGGAATTTGATGATAACATACCGGCCCGAGCTTTTGATAATTTCCAAGTTAGTTTTTTTTTTTTCAATCTCGTAACATTATGGATTGATTCTTTGATGATAACATACCGGCCCGAGCTTTTGATAATTCTGAGACATTTCTCCGATTTCTGTTTATATAGTTTGTGAACTTCACGGAGATCATGTCAAAAAACAAAGAGCAGTCTCGAAAGGAGACAGAGTTTGCACTCTCTGCTCTCATGGAGATTCCTCCACAGTACAAAGCGACGATAGAGCTTAACCTTTTAGGGTAATGAACCAAATCAAAACTTTGAAAGATTGAAACGGGCTATAATGGTATGAAAGTTGTCAACTTTATCTTGCCCTGACATTTTTGCAGGCAAAGAAATGGAACTATCCCAGAGAGAATCCCACTTCCACCTCCGGGGCAGTGCGGAGCAACATTCTTCAACCCGTCAAAAACTTCTCGAATACCGAGCTTTGAACCGAGTGTACCTACTTATCCGATTGAAAGCAAGCATATGGACGAGAACCAGGTAAAAGAGACGTTGAATCTGTTTAGAATGTTGAAAGAAACAAAAATAAAGGTTTTCTAAATTGGTTTTGTTAAAATGCCCTCTCAACAGTTGTGTCCGATATGTCTGAGCAATCCCAAAAACATGGCGTTTGGTTGCGGCCATCAGACATGTTGTGAATGCGGACCAGATCTTAAGGTGTGTCCGATTTGTCGTGCACCCATCCAGACCAGAATTAAGCTCTACTAATTGCCCAGTGTACAATCCATCTTCTCCCGAGAGAATTCAGATCTTTCTGTACAAAAAATAAACCAAAGTGTTCTTTTGTTCTTTGATTGATTTCCGAAACTTAGCTCGTTCCCAAATTTCTTGACTTCTTTAGTTGTTTTGCTTGGATTGTAATAAACTAATAATAAGGGTACATTATATTATATGGTTTTCTCTTGATATGTCAGGATCCTTTTTTCAAAACACGCTTCTCTCCAACCCATAGAATAGAGAAGCAAGCAAGTAAGATATCAAATGATTCAAATCACACCAAAACCTTTTCATTCGCAAAAAGCTAGATAGATTACCTAATACAGGCCCATTACGACTAAATTGGGCTCAAAAGCAATATTCACCACTCATTACTTATCTACTCGATTAAAAAAATAAAAAATCTAAAGTTCGTCACTTTCTACTAACGACGATTCTTAGCTTCTGCCAAGTTTGGTAAAGCCAAAGATTCTATCCAAAATATGGATTCTCTTCGATTCAACCTACAACAATCTCCAACACAACTGAAACCGAAAGTTCTCCGACCAAGAATCACTAACATGTCAAACCAAACCGATGAAACCGATCCACGAGCCTCATCCTCGGCCGGTAAGATACAGCGGTTAGTACTCAGCAGCGAAGGTCGGACCAAACTAAACGTCGAACCTGACCGCGAATTCTATTCATACCCACGGTTCGTGAACCACGTGGACGAAAAGTTCATATCCTGCTTAACCGATCTATACAGAAACCGGTTAAGACCCGGTTCGATAGTATTAGACTTGATGAGCTCATGGGTTAGCCATCTGCCGGAAGAGGTCAAGTACGAGAAAGTAGTGGGGCATGGTCTAAACGCACAGGAGCTTGCGAGAAACCCTAGACTCGATTACTTCTTCATCAAGGATCTTAACGACGATCAGAAATTCGAGTTGGAAGATAAGTATTTCGATGCGGTTTTATGTTCTGTCGGTGTGCAATATCTGCAACAACCCGAAAAGGTACACTACCGTAAACTAAACCAGTTTCGGTTTATATATGTAAATATACTGAATGTCTGAGAATTCCTAAACCGGACCTCCCCAGGTGTTTGCGGAAGTGTATAGAGTGTTGAAACCGGGAGGTGCGTTGATAGTGAGTTTTAGCAATCGGATGTTTTATGAGAAAGCAATTAAGGTTTGGAGAGATGGAACAGAGTACGGCCGGGTCCAATTGGTCGTTCAGTACTTTCAGTCTATCGAAGGGTTTACTCAGCCGGAGATCATCCGGCAACAGCCTCCTGCTGGTGGTGGTGGTGGAGGACCTGAGAAACCGGTTTTTAATTGGCTTATGGGTTTAATTGGTTTAGCTTCTAGGCCTGACCCTTTTATTGCTGTGATTGCTTATAAGAATTTCAAACCTCTGTATGAGTAACCTAAAATATATACCGCTTTTTTTTGTTCTTTCAATGTTAAGAGTATAAAGTGAATTATTATCTTCTTCTTTTCTTTCCTTATATTAGAAGTTGGTTTTGGATAAGAAGGTTGAAAGAGAGATAAGAAAAAGAAAAAGAAAAAACTTTGAATTAGTACCAAATCCAGCTGGTGAAACTTACCACACAAATTCTAGATTTTGAGCTACCAATCAAATTGGAAGAACCTGTAATACAAAAGAATATATAATTGAAAGAAAGATTACCACTGTGGAAAATATATAGTTTTTACTTTTCAATATAGCAAGTTTTGTGTATGATTCGTTATGCTCGTAGATTAATGAACAATGGACAATATCCAAGCAAGGTAGCCTCGTACCTTCAACGAGTATCACGAGTTGCTTATGTCATGGTTTTGATTTTATACTATAACAACAGTACTAATCAAAAGTAAGTATTATAAGAAAATCCATTGCACTGTAGCTAGTGATGTACGATTTAAAAATGTGTGGCTTCTTTAGTAGCTATGAAGTTACCAAAAATCGATATTATTATTATTAGTAACACCACGTATAAATCTTGAAAATGATAAGTTTTAGACATCACAAGTTTTCAATATTATTATTATTTAAAAAAAAACTCCACAGAAAAATCAAAGTCCTAATATGTATGTAGAAGAAGACTGTTGCACATTCATTAGACTGGGATTCTCGACGACAAGAAATTTCAATAGTATCCTAAATGAAGAAAGTGACAAAGTAGAAGGAATTGTCCATGGAAGTGTCAAAGACACAAAACAAATATTAAACCAAAGACGAAGCAAAGAAGTTGATTCAAAGTTGCCACCTTTTTTTGTTGTTGTTTCAATCTTTTTTCACCTATATATATATATATAGATATACCACACATGGATACTAACCCAATCATTCACCAACAAAACATCGTATCTCTCACATATCGTTTCAAGCCCTACATTTCTCACCTCCTCGCAAATATGGCCCAACGCTTTCAGTTAAACCCGAAACCCCTCACTGACCCACCGGCGGATCCTCTCAAAAGGGTCTCTCTGATCCCAAGACCCAGCGCCGAGCAGAAGCTGACAGAGAACTTAGGTGAGAGGCGTCCCTTAGCCCCGAGAACTCACGAAGACAAACCCTTTGGTGAACAATCAGATGATCACCATGTTGCCGCTCCTCCAAAAACTATGGATCATAAGAAGGCAACGGATCATGAGACTGAGCAGATCGGTTCCATTGTCCCTAAGACGACAGCACATCATCCTCACTCATCTGAGGAACTCCTCGATGCCAATAGTCGACATTCTTTGGCTCCGAGATCACTGGGTCACAACTCGCTCGGTGGAAGATTTGGACCGGGAAAGAAACAAGCTTTCCACAGAAATGGCAGACCCATGTTTTCACTTTCTGATGACCGAGTGATGGCTGATAGAGTTTTGAAGACTCATAGTCCTGACATGGTCTTCTTTGATGTCAAATCACTTCTCTCCGTTGTTGATGACATCTTCAAGTCTCATGTCCCATCCATTGACTCCCCTGCTCCTAAGGTTTTGTTTCTTGCGCCGCAGTTAATTAATCCACTTTAATTTCAAGATATTGATTTACATTTTCTTTTTGCAATTTAAAAATTTTCAGCCGTCACTCGTGTTCAAGGACTACGCTGATCATACCTCCTTTGAAACTTTCGCGGACCTCATCGATCAAATCTCTTGCGAGGTATATTATATAAATGCTCATCTTCAGATGAAGCTTCCTTTGTTTTTAGCATTTGACTCATTTCCCAAGTATCAATGTCTCTGACACAGATCGACTGCAAGTGTCTTCATGGCGGTGAGTCTCACGGTATGAAGACATCAGGGCTTCATTTAGACAGTCGCAATACGACAACTTTCTCTGTTCTGTCGCTGGTCTCCAAATACCGCTGGGATGCTAAGCTAGTCCTTGTCCTAGCCGCTTTGGCTGTGAAATACGGCGTTTTTCTCCTCCTCGCGGAGACATACGCGACAAATCAGCTCACTAAATCTCTGGCTCTCATCAAGCAGCTCCCTAGTATCTTCTCTAAGCAGAACGCCCTGCACCAGCGTCTAGACAAGACCCGAAGTCTGATGCAAGACATGGTTGATCTCACCACTACCATCATCCAGATCTATCAACTCCCACCTAACCACATCACTGCGGCGTTTACCGATCATGTCCCCACTGCGGTTTACTGGATTGTTCGCAGCGTTCTGATCTGCGCTGCTCATATCAGTGGCGTCAGCGGTTTCAAGCAGGAGTAAGTACCATTTCTAAGCTTTTGTAAGATCTTCAAGAAAACACTTTTTAAAGTTTCTCTCATCTCCGTTTTCAGTCAAATCATGTCGTTTATGGAAGTTTCGGAGATACACGAGAATAGCGAAAGGCTTAGGAAGATCAATGCTTACCTGATAGAACAACTCAAGAAGAGTCGCATGACCATCGGTTAGATTTCATTATATGCAAATACGACTTCTGTTGATCTCTCTTTCTCTTTGTTAGTCATGCTCTTTTTGCTCTGTTAACAGAGGATGGTATAATCGACGAAGAGTATCAAGAACTCATTCAGACGTTCACTACTATCATTCACGTTGACGTTGTTCCACCTCTGATTCGTTTTCTCAGACCCATTGACTTTCTGTACCATGGAGCTGGTGATTCCAAAAGACGCGTAAAAGACAAAACTTAATCTCTTTCTTTCAAATCCCTGTCTCTGTTTCTGCCTCTTCCTCTGTTTTATCTCTGTCTCTGTTTATCTCATTTGCTCTGTTTCTGCCGCTGCCTCTGTTTTCAACATTGACCAGGTTGGGATCAACGTGCTCACCCAAAAGCACGTTTTGCTTCTGGTATCAGACCTAGAAAACATCGAAAAAGAGCTCTACATTCTGGAATCGCTCTACACAGAAGCATGGCAGCAATCATTCGAGATTCTATGGGTTCCAGTTCAAGATTATTGGACAGAAGCTGATGATGCCAAGTTCGAGTCACTTCATTCGAACATGAGATGGTATGTTCTTGGAGAGCCTCGGAGGTTAAGGAGATCCGCAGTGAGGTTTGTGAGAGAATGGTGGGGGTTCAAGAACAGACCTATACTCGTTGCACTTGATCCCAAAGGTCAAGTGATGTCCACCAACGCTTTCCCCATGGTCTGGATCTGGCAATCCTTCGCGTATCCATTCACGACCGCAAGGGAACGTGATCTATGGGGTGAACAGGAGTGGAATCTTGAGTTCTTGATTGATGGCACTGACCCTCACTCCTTGAACCAGGTTATCTTGATTGAAAAAAAAAAAAAAACAGAGTATTTATAAATTCTTATGTTTCTTGAGTTAAACGTCAGCTGATAAAGAGAGTTTTTTTTTTGTTTTAATTTTTTTTTATATCAGCTTGTTGATGGAAAATATATATGTCTCTATGGGGGAGAAGACATGCAATGGATCAAAAACTTCACGAGTCTGTGGCGTAATGTAGCAAAAGCCGCAAACATTCAACTCGAGATGGTTTACGTCGGGAAAAGAAACCCTAAGAACGGAATCCAACCTATAATCAACACAATCAAAGAAGATAACCTCAGTCATACATTGCCGGACTTGTTCCAGATCTGGTTTTTCTGGACGAGGATTGAGAGCATGTGGGAGTCGAAGCAAAGGATGCTGAAAGCTCACGGAACCAAAGGGCGAGAAAGGTCTAAAGAAGGGTTTAAAGAAGAAGAAAAGGACCTTGTTCTGCAAGAAATCGTTGCTATGTTA